TATTGTCTAATGATCAAGTAAGGATGAGCCTTTAAGGGCATGATCAACACTCGTATGGGAAAAGTCTACCGTGTACGTTGTCACTGACGGATCCAAAAATATTTTTTAAAGTGGGCACACATATATTAACAATATAAAATTGGTGCATACAAATAAAATTTTAAACTCATATTTTCAGGGTAGGCATGAAAAATTTCAAGGTGAGTACCGTTAATAAAATAAGTAACTAATCGAAGAAAATTCAAATTTCAGGGTGGACATGTGCCCACTCTCACCAAGCTATGACTCTGCCACTGCACGTCGCACACCGCAATACACCACTAAAGCGACGTACTGAAACACAACACTAACTAAATTGTCTTTATTAAGTAAATTTGAAAGTGGTAAATTACACGTTTTGTACCTAAATTATCACTTTTGTTTTATTTTAGTATCTAAATTTTAATTTTTTAAATCGTTAAGGACAATGTTTATGTGACATGACATGACAATTTTTTTAATTACCACACCACATTTTTCTTTATTCATGGGGATAAAAAAATTTAAAATCACTCTTGCTCCTAATATGAAATGAACTTGGGTCTCTTACATGAGAAATAAATCACTCAACCATTGAACTAAGATAGTCATTTAATTAAATTTCATCACATTTTGTATTTAACTTATATAACAGTATTACCACAAAATTAATATTTTTTAATGATAATAAGATTAAAAAATGAGACACTTTAAATTAATCACTGAAAACTTAATCACTCAACTATAGTGTGATTTTTTATTATACCGAACATAATACTTATTTATTATTAAATTAAAAGACTAATAATTTTACATTTAGGATAAATTATACAATTAGTATCCAAATATTACTTTGGTTTAAAAAATATTTAAAATTAAATAAATAATTTAAAAATAATATTATTTAAAATTAAATAAATAATTTAAAAATAATATTATTTAAAATAAATAAATAATATAATTTCAAATAAATAAATAATATGATTTTAAAAATTAAATAAATATTTTAAAATAATTTCATAATATGATAAATATACTTTTTAGAATAATTTAATATAAATTTTATAAATATATATAAATAAATATTTAATTATTTTTTATTTCTAAATAAAGTAAAAAAACATTCTTTAATTTAATAATGATATAATTAGGTATTAAGTTTGATATAATAAAAATAAAATTGAACTATAGTTGAATGACTAAGTTTTCAATCATTAAGGGTCTGTTTTTTTCACACACAAAAAAGATTCTGAAAAATGAATTTCGTAAACTGAAGTACAGTTCCTGGAAAACATTTTACTGAAAATTGTTTTACGGTGTTTAGATGATGTTGTGTAATTCATTTTTCAATGGTTGATAAATTTTTTAAAAATTATTTATTATAAACATTAAATAAAAAAATATTATTTATTAAAAATAATAATATTATTTTTAATTAAAATATTAGATTAATTTATTTAATATTATTTATGTAAATATTATAATTAAAATATTATGTCTACAATTTTATAAACAAAAATATTAAGATTATTATATTTATTAAAATAAAATAATTATAAATTATAGTAATTATTTATTAAAATAAGAATAATATATTATGAATTATATTAATTACTTATTAAAAAATAATAATAATATTAAAATATTAAAATTATAATATTAAAATAAAAAATTATATTATATTTTAAGGAGTATATTTAAAATATTAAATAATTTAATAATATTATTTTTAAAATTAAGAAATAATATTATTTTATTATTAATTTATTAAATATTATTAAAATAAAATTATAGTATTAGATATTTTAATAATATAATTATAATAATAAAATATTATATTATTAAAATTATCAATAAATATAATTTAATAATTAATACTTTTATTAAAATGATACTAAAATAATATATTAATATTAAATATATGAAATAATAGTTTTTTGAGTATTTATGCTTCGAAGTGAAAAGTTAATAAATTGACTTACCAAAAATTAGATCGTAAATCATTTTCCAGAAAATACAAAGGAAATTCAGTTGACCATGAAAATGAATTACATTGATCATCTATTTTTCGTCATACAAACATTATAAAATGAGGAAAAAATTTTCCAAAAAATCAATTACAAGAAAACAAATATACCCTAATTTAAATTGTCACGTATTCTAATTTTATATTTATCAGAAAATATTAATTTTGTGATGATAATATTATATAAATTAAAAAAATGAGATAAAATTAATTTAAATTGCTAGTTTAACTCAATGTTTAAGTGCTATGCATTTTATGTAAAAGGTCAGGGTTCAATTCATGCTAAGAGTAAAAATACTTTCTTTTATTTTATCCACATAATTGTCACCATTTAATTTTGGTTGAATAAATTAATTAAAAATTAATGACGGGAAAATACAAAGGTTATATGAAAATAATATTACTTTGGTTCCGTACAAAATCATTTAAAATTAAATAAATAATTAAAAATAATATTATTTAAAATAAATAATTAATATAATTTCAAATAAATAATATGATTTTAAAAATTAAATAAATATTTTAAAATAATTTCATAATATTATAAATATAATTTTTATAATAATTTAATATAAATTTTATAAATAATTATTTAATTATTTTTTATTTCTAATAAAGTAAACATTTATTCTTTAATTTAATAATGATATAAGTAGGTATTAAGCTTGATATAATAAAAATAGAATTGAATTATAGTTGAATGACAAAGATTTCGATCATTAAGGGTACGTTTGTAGTATAGTTCATGGAAAATATTTTTCTAAAAATTGTTTTACTGTGTTTGGATGATATCATGTAATTAATTTTCGAACGGCTGATAATTTTTTTACAAATTATTTATTGTAAACATTAAATACAAAAAAAATATTATTTATTAAAAAATAATATTATTATTTTTAAAATATTAGATTAATTTATTTAATATTATTTATGTAAATATTCTAATTAAATTATTATATCTACAATTTTATAAACAAAAATATTAAGATTATTATATTTTATTAAAATAAAATTATTATAAATTATCTTAATTATTTATTAAAATAAGAATAATATATTATTAATTATATTAATTACTTATTAAAAATAATATTATTAAACTATTAAAAATTATAATATTAAAATACAAATATTATATTATATTTTAAGGAGTATATTTTAAATATTCAATAATTTCATAATATTATTTTATTATTAATTTATTATATATTATTAAATAAAATTATAAAATTAGATATTATAATAATATAATTATAATAATAAAAATATTATATTATATTATTATAAAATTATCAATAAATATAATTTAATAATTAATATTTTTATTAAAATGTTATTAAAATTACACCATAAGTCATTTTCAAAAAAAATGCAAAGGAAATTCAGTTGATCATAAAAATGAATTACATTGATCATCTATTTTTCTCCAAAACATTAGAAAATGAGGAAAACATTTTTCGAAAAACCAATTACAAGGAAACAAACATACCCTAATTTAAAGTGTCACATATTCTAATTTTATATTTATCAGGAGCAAGAATGTTTTCTTTTATTTTATCCACATAGCTGTCACCATTTAATTTTGGTTGAATAAATTAGTTAAAAAGTAACGACGTAGAAATAGAAAGGAAATATGAAATAAAATTTTGACATATCATGTCATGTCACATCAAAATTGTCATTGATGGTTTTAAAAAAATTAAAGTTTAGGTACAAAAAGAAAATAAAAATGATAGTGTCAGTACAATTTAATTGGTGGTGTGTTTCGGTATGTCACTTTAGTGATGTGTTGTAGTATGCGACGTGTTACAATATACGACGTGCGCTATAGACTTATGCACTTCTAAGTTCATGTTATTGATGAAAAATTCGTACACACACATATAAAATAAATACAATTATTGTTATAATGATTTGAAAAAGATATTATGTAATAATCATCCTAATTTATTTTTTAAAATTAGGTTTTATAAACCACAGTAAAAGACATATAGAACATTTGACGTTTTCATAAAAATACATAAAAAGATTTAACGTCTCTTACATAGAGATTAAGAAGACAAACACGAGAATTAACATGAGAATATGTTGTATTTTCTATGTGTCTTCCTACAAATACTAAATAATTCATACAATTTCCGATTGACACAGAAACATTCGCTCTATTTAAAAGAATATTTTTTTAACATCTTACCTAAACAAATCCTTTTTTTAATAAGTTCATATCAACAAATTCATAATCCCACTATACTATCCCAACAAATTTGCCTTTTTAAATATTAACATGATTGTCCCAGCGAGATAAACATTTACAACAATAATTGTTGATTGATATATCAGATAAGCCTCTCTTTGGAATCGGCAACCGTGTGGAGGAAAATCTCTCACTGTATTTCGCCAGTCTAAATTTATTATTATTCTTTAAATGCATTTTTAATGAAATTAATTAAATCATTCATTCATTCTAATATGTCACCATTCACACGTTAGTTATCATATAATTCATATTAATACTGTCAATTATCAACAGTATTGAAGATTAAAACACCCATCAACAAACACGTGTTCTTATTCAAAGATTCCACGAAAGTCATAAACGGGCGGCTTTGATTTTGCTTTGGTTAAAATACGAGCTTAGTATTTAAACTATCAATTTTAGTATGTTTTATTATCTAATTTTTTAATTTTTTTTAAAATTATACTTAACATTTAGTTTTTGTTTTATTTTAATGTCCGTTAAAAACTAACGTTAAACTTTGAAAGAAAAATGAAAGTTTAAGTAATAAAACGGGTCAAAATTAATAGTTTAGATATCAAATGCATTAAGTTTTTTATATTAGGTACTAAAATAAAACAAAATATAAATATTAGATATGATTTTAAAAAACTAAAAAAATTAGATATCATAACGAAACAGAAAGTTTACCATTTTTTTACAGAAAATTTACCATTTTTCTTAAATATAAACGTAACAAAGAATCTCGCTTAGTCTCAGCCCAGATTTTCATCCAAAATATTGACAGAAAATTAAGAAGCTAGAGAGAAAATTGAGGGAAACTGGGAAGGTGGTATGTGTAACAGGAGCATCAGGCTGCATAGCTTCATGGCTGGTTAAGTTCTTACTACAACGGGGTTACACTGTCAGAGCCACTGTTCGTGACCCAAGTCAGTTCTAATCTTCAACCTTAATCCTCACGTGCTTTTTATTATTCTTCTTATTGTTTTAATTCTTCTGTTCATCCCTAAAATGTCCGATCACTATGTAATTGGAAGACCGATATGTTTTATCATGTAATTAACTGTTCTACGCACGTTTGTAGATGCTTTTCCCTATCTCTAGTTGCATATTTTCATGATTGTCTATAACTAGTTGAAGTTAGATAGTAGCATTATGATCCTTTAGGTAGTTTCTGATTTCCCAAGGCAATCGAAATGACCGGATGAACTTTACCAATTATATTGGTTCATCTGCTATACGGTTCTATTAGTTGAATCTACTTGCCAATAGGAAAAGAAACAAACTTGCATACTGTCTGGATTCGTTGGCTAGTGTATGATTTTGAATACTCATACTTTCTGATTGTTCGAAGTTGCAGGGGATTCCTGATAGTTGATTCATTCTTAGGTCATGTGCTAAGGTTCTGCCTATCAAACGTGTTGTTATAACATAATTGCAGCTGTTGTGTTTAACTGAAAGTCCCTTTTGTTGGATTAATATCCATAATTATGATTATATATTTATAATGTATGTTGTTATCATAAAATATGACTTAAATTAAATGACCAATTATATTATAAAGTTATAAGGTATTAAAAGTGTTATGGAAATAAAAGTATAGATAATATTAAAGTTGTATTTATAAAAGTGTAAGTACAGACAATAATTTCTTCTTAAATCAGCTATATAAAGAGGTTATGGTCCCAAGAAATAGAAAATCTCGTATTTACTTTTATTGAGTTTATACTTAAGGGAATTATATCTTCTTGGAAGATCACAAGGATTTCAATATATCAATTAATTTAGATACGCTTGCGCATCTAATATTTATTTATTCTTGATGATTTGACATGATTAGATCCTGGTTAATTTCATATTTATTATGATTTAGTTCAAGCAAGTGGTACCGTCGTCTCATCATATTGAATTATTGAGAATTTATTGATTTATTTTTTAAAATTAATTTATTCTTAAAACTTTATGGTTCGATATCCCGAATGATATTCAAATTCAAGTTTGTTATTTTATGAGTTCTACTAATTTAGATATTTTTATTCATCAATTTACTTCATTCATATGTCGATAATCAATATTGTAATTTTTATTTATAGTTTACAATTGAGAGTGTCTAAGGAAAGACATCTTAATATAAGAATAAGAAAAGACGCTACTGGAAATATTAATTTTTTTAACATTTCTGGTAGAGTGCTACCTAAAATTTTATTTTTTCTATCGAAGATATTAATATTGGGCGCTACTTAAAATGTTATTTTTTCTACATTTTTTCTACCAGAAATGTTAATATCGGACATATTCATTTTATGTAACGAAATTAATATTTTCGGTAGAAAAAATAACATTTTAGGTAACACTCTACTAAAAATATTAAAAAATATTAACATTTCCGATAACGTATCTCTTTAGCCTTATATTAAACTGCCGTACAGCATAACTACCCTTTACAATTTGTTGTTTGCTAGTTGATATTCGACATATTTTGATTGTGTTTTTTAATCAACTTTTATATTGATTAAATATTAGGCACCATTAATGTTGGGTTGGATTTTTGTTTTTGTTTTTATGCACTAACTTCATAATTGAATAGCAATGGTTTATTCGGTTAAAATTTAGGACACATGATTGTTAAGGAAAATTTACATTGTTGTAGTGTTGAGTTAATGCAATTGTTGCAATTGTTTTTTTTTTCAATTGTGATATTGTTTTATTTGTGGAATAATTGCATATATTAATTTAGGTTATATGGCGATTATTAGCATCATGTTTGGGAAATTTTATTTTTCCTTCTTATCTCTTATTTCGATTAATTCGAGTTTTGAATCTGATAAAATTAAGGTTATAATCAAAGATGTTAAAATTTGTTTTGATTTATAAAATTTATTTGTTTTATAATCAGTTATATTTTTAATAATTGATTTTTTCTACCATGATATTAGTTTTGATTTCTTGTATCATGTTTTGTTTTAATTTGGCGAATTCATTCTTGAGGAATAGTAAAAGATTTAAGTTTTTTGGGTTTCTAATAACGTCATTTAGACAACATTATTATATGTTACTTCAAAAAGCATGACGCGATTAGAAAATTCAATTTTGGTTTTTGATTATTGTTATGGATTATAGAATATATGTTTGGCATTGATATATTTGATTCGGTTTGTTTAAAAAAAGTTATTCATTAGAATCTACTTTGATCTTGACTTTTGGTTAAATGATTATTGTTTTGAGTTCAAATTGTCTTTAATAATTTATGAAGTTGTGAATTAAATAAAGTTATTCATTAGAATCTACTTTGATCTTGACTTTTGGTTAAATGTTTATTGTTTTGAGTTCAAATTGTCTTTAATAATTTATGAAGTTGTGAATTAAATGCATGTTTAAGGAATTCTTCAGAAACAATCAAAGACTTAAGTTTTCGATTTCTTATAGCACTTTTTATGTAACCTTGTTGGGTTATTCCATGTATTGTAGTCCGATCAGAAATTTCAGTTTTGACATTTGATTGTTATAGAAAATATTAAATTTTAATACTGATATTTATTTTGAGAGATTTAATTAAAGTAATAAGTCGTTAAAATGACCTCAATTATGGAAAATATTTTGTACATGTAACTTAAGATATGTTAGTATTGATCGGCCCAAAGGAAGATTAATAGTTGACATAATTACATTTACAACTTTAGTAATAAGCATGTGATAATTATTCGGTTTGACGTGTGAGTAATAAATCGACCTAAAAGAAGATTTTTGCTTAACATGTTCTTATTATCAGTGTTTGGTACCACATCAGATATCACTTAAGGTGATTATTTTGTCTAAAGATGAAATATTAATGAAGTATTTGATATATTGAGGTAATGTTTAAGTGTATTCAAATTTATTATTATTTTGATTATCTTTTAATTTAATTAAAAGATAAATTAAGAGAAATTGATTGGTTGACAATATTTCTATGATTTTATTTATATTGTTAATGCAATATATGTATATATTCAATTTGTTTTTTTTTCAATTTAGATTGTTGGTTAATAGAATATACATATTTTAAAACAAATTAATTCATATTATGGCCATGTCTGATATTTTGATAGATTAGTTGAAATAAAATACCGCCAAAGTGACCTCTTTTGTGTAGACTGATTTATTTGAAATATCAAGATGGATATGTGTTTCTTGTGATTCATGCGTTTATTAATTTGCCAAAAGGAAAGTTAATATTTAGTAAGGATTGCAAACGATACATATGGTAATAGCATGTGACAATTATAAGGTATTTATTTTATGTGCATGAGCATTACATTAGTCTAAATATTAACCTTTTGTTCGACATAACTTATTGTCAATGTTTGATTACTACAACAAAAGTATCTTTTACTGATAATATTATTGTCCAAAGACTTGATATTGATGTAGTGTTTGGTATCTTATGATGAAAATTAATCATAATTTTGAATTTATTTGTTTACTTAAGATGTGAGCTTCAGTTTTATTTATATTTTGTTATATATTTAAATTATTTATTTATTTATTGCAACCACAATATATTCTCTATGGAAAAATGCACTTAGGAAAGTGGATATGAAGGAATGGAAAAATGCACTTACATAAGGTTTTGGTTGTATAAACATAGACTTTGCGCTAATGAAAGAACAATTTCCACCTCTCATGGGGATAACATTCTTAATTGATATAATAGATTTTGAGAGGTAAAATTTGTTCAAATTGCATAAGTCTAGTGGTCATGAAGTACAACATTTTAGAAGCCTTTAGGGGCACATAATCTGAAAAGATTACTAAGTCTAATGGTTTCCTTGACGAAATTGAGAAATATCTTCCCAAAAACAATAAGGTTTAAATGACATCATTTTTTACTTTTTTGATGTCTATAAAGTATAAGGGTCAAGTAAATGTGAGGGAATACATTATGGATATGTTTCATATTGCTTTAAGTGTAACCCCCCAGACCGATGCGGATAACCCGATCCGATCTGGGTTGTCACATTAGGGCCACCGGAGCGACCCACTGTAAAAATAGCAGAAAATTTAAAACTTTTTATCAGAACATGTAAACTTATAAAATCATTTGTCACTATTTAAAAATAAAACAGATTTCCAGACTCTTATATAAAACAAAATACAATTACATGCCCCCTAATCACATGTACCATACTCTGAAAACAATGCCGGAAGAACTCCCTTACTGTTGTCGATAGCTGCACTGGTATAATTCTTTTAACCTACAATGTTGAGTAATAGAGTGAGCTTCGGAAAGCTCAGTAATACAGAACTACCAAGTGATGCTAAAGGACATGCAGATAAATGTGAAGCCATAATTTCCTTATTGAATCAAATGTATACCAGTTTGCAAGATAATCTGGGATTCCATTAGTAGTTCAACGAGTAGAAACCATGAAGATCACAGTTTATAGGAAGCATTCATAGTATCACATTTTCATGAGATCGAATAGGATGTCTAGTGTGTTCCAACAATACGATAAAATCATAGTAGGTATAATAAACGAGTAATAGTTCAATAAATCATCATAAAATCATAATGAAGTTTCACTTTTGAAAATCATAGTTTAAACTCTTTTCTTGTACACCATCAGTAATTTCCAAAACTATTTTCCATATAGCTTACTCTCAGCACACAACAAAAAGAAAGCCAACCTAAGGATAAGCTTTAGAGCTTGTATCCTTAAGCCCGTAAGTCCAAGTCCATATAGCTTACCCTAAGCACACAGTAAGGGAAGCCAAAGGCCCATTCTGTTTATTAGCTTGATCAGAGCTATACTATTGTAATTCAATCCAAAAGTTCAATTGCACCGTGACAAAAATTCCATAAATCATCACATTAAATTGGTGCATCAATAAAACAGTAACCAAAGAACTCAGTGTACCTCATATTAAAACCAATAAAACAGTTCAATAATAAT